TTTTGCATACCCCAGGATGCAGTCGAGGCGTCTACCATGTACACACATATATTTGTATATTTGTAGCTAGCAGTCAGTCGGGCTACATTGCGAGGGCGCTAGTCTCAAGCTCGTCCTTGCAAGGTGCCGGGTACAAACAGGTACCTAACTTAAGTGCGTACCGTCCTGCGCGGTCTGCTCTGCCCTCCTGGTGCCCGCTAAAACCCGGGCCGTGGCGCCCGGCCATCCGTTGACTGACTGATCCCCCGGCGTCCGAAATTGCCCTTTTTAGCTGGTCCTCAGCGGCGCAGCGGCGGGGCGTGCGGTTGCGGTTGCGGTGGCTGGTGGCTGGTGGCTGGTGGTGCCTTGCTGTTGAGCGCCTCGGCAAGTCCCTCCATCTTATCTCGGGCGTTTGCATCTGATCTGATGCCGGCTTCGTGATTCCTCCCCTTTTTCCTTTTTCCTCTTCGCGCGAAGCGCTAGGGGCTGTGACCCCCGGGTCGCTTGCTTGCCTGCCTGCTTGCCTGCTTGCCTGCCTGCTTGTGGCCTGCAGCCTGTAGTGCAGCTAGTACTACTACCGCTCGCTTGTTTCTGTCGTCACGTTGTCGCCAGCAGATGCTACTCTCCAGCTAGCCCGCTTCGTTCCCATGCGTCTTGACGCCGGCCACACTCGGCCTTCCAAGTAACTAGGGGAGAAGGGGGGGTGGCGAGGGCCGCGGGAATCAAAATCTTCAAGCGCCTACGTGATAAATAGTCCTCCCCCGGTGCAACGTGGACGAGCGCATCAGGTGGGGGGTAGTATTGGTTTTGTCATTCATTGCTATCTGTCGTAAACGTTTGTCTCTCAACAGCTGTCACTATCATGTCAATGTCCACAAAGGAAAATAGAGGTCGTCAGCTTGCAAGGCATTAGACGCATCTTGCCTGCTGCGACCTACCAAGGGAAGACGACGAGCTCATCGTCCACCACGCGCGCTTCATCCGTGGTGGTAAATCGCATCAGTCTCTTGGCTCACAGTCGCCCTCCCCGTTGCCCATCTCGTGTCTCGAGTCCCCGTGTGTACAACATTTCAACATTTGGCCGGGCTGGCTTGCTGCGCCAGTCTCTTCCGAGAAACGTGCCGTCTCCCAACGAATTCCTTGTCTGCCCCGCACGTCGCTTTCCCGGTTCCGTAGCCCACGAGTTCCTCGTTTCTCGTTCCTTCCTAGGTTCCAATATACAAGAAAAATAGGGACAGGGGCCGCTCGATAATATCTGATAAAAATATAACCAACACTCCAAGATCCTGTAGCCACCAAACGAAAACTCTGGAGGGAGGCAGAGAGGCAGGGAGGCAGGGTGAAAAGGCACCCAGCCGAGACATAAGCAGAATATCCACACAAAATATCAATGCTCGCTCGCTTGTTGAAAGGAGAAAAAAAGCCCCATGGACGTTAAAGGTAATGTCATAAAAGTTGACAAGAAAATAGAAATAAATAGAAAAGGAAACTTTAAAAATATTTTCATCAAGAATTCAAGAGGACAGAGTCGGCACAAAAATAACACTTCGTTGCGTGAGCAAATGATCTGGATTGGCTTATTCGTGTCCCCGAAGGCGACATTCAGGCATGAGAATCTTCGTCAGTAACAAGACGTGTAGAACATAAGATAGAATAGCGAAATAAACAATCATCAAAGAAATCCCAGGAAGCAGTCATTCAAACGTAGCAGGGCCGTCATATTTCGTCATCGTGAGATTCATTTTGCTTTATCATTTCATGTCGTAATCATTGCGATTCGTTGCATGGCTGCTCTCCGCAACCATTTTGGCAAAGTTTCGAACAACATCGCTGGGAATTTGATCCCAGAGAAGTGAGCGTGTGTATACGTCAGCAGCACCGCCTTGTCTGTTTGCTGCACGCATCGCGGTCAGAGCGTCTGCGAGGTTCTTACGCCCCTGGCTCGTTGATCTTTCAGGGGCGTGCTGTAGAAATTCTTGGTTGCTCACACCGTCATACTGTGCTGCCGAAAGGGAAAATATTTGCTCGTTCAGCTGATCTTGTGTTGGCTGTGTCAATGAATCGCCCAGCTCTTCAAGCATCGATGGGACGCCGCCTTCCATGCTGATATCGGCAATGCCTGTGCCGGTGACATGGGGATGAGCCCAACTCGCACTAGATGGTTGAGGGGCGATGGCTTGCATTCCTGCTGACCCTGAGTTGATGCCGGCATCCTTGAGGACATTCTCAAGGAGAGTTGCTGATGCGGCGCGGACATCCTCGGATACACGCGGGATGGCTGGCATAGACCGGCTAGACATGACAAGTGCGCCAACGAGGAAGAGCATGAATAATAAACCTCCCTGAGAGGCGCCCTTGTCGCCCTCGAGCGTTGTGGCGGTGCTGTCGTTCTTTTTGGCCGGTGCAAGCGAGACATGCGGTCTAACATGCAATGTGTCCGCGGAATAGTCACTGAGGAAGTTCGGGTTATCCCAAGCCCCTGGCATCCCTATACCTTCCATACCAAAGTTGTCGGAGATGCCACCGTTCGCACCAGTGCCTGAGGAAGCCAGGGGTTGGCTTTCCAATCTCTGAACGTGTTCCGTAAGGACGTTGACCTTTTTCCGTAGTTCACCAGTCTCGAGAGTGTGCGCACGAATCATGTCGTCCTTCTCGATGCGTAGTCCTTCAACAAAGTCCACAAGGTCTTGCTTCTCTTGCATGAGTCCATCGAACTTGACTTTTAAAGTCGATATCTCCTCCTCCAGGTCGGTGATAAGTGCAGTATACTGCTTCTTCTCGTCTTCCAGTCGCTCAGTATGCTGCTTCTTTCGTTGTCTTGAGTCAAGGCTATCCGCAGATGTTAGTAGCTACCCAAAAAAAAAAAAAAAAAAAAAAAAAAA